CTGAAGAAGGGTCCTGACCCGAAACATCAGCTTTCCTGCTCCTCTGATGCTGCCTGGCCTACTGTGTTCCTCCAGCTCCACACTGTGTTATCTCTGACTCCAGCATCGGCAGTTCTTACTATCTCTGATCCTATTAGTCTCTGTCTTCACTTCTACTCCGTAGCCCCAGATATATCTTTTCCAATTCAATGTTTGGTCTCCGGTCTTTGGAATTCAAACGGTGCAAAACCGAACATGTGCTGCTGCTCACCAATGGTAAAGGTTCATAGAATGTTGACAGTATAGAAAGAGGCCACTTGACCTATCGTGTCCATGCTGATAATAATGAGCCAGTCATTCCCACTTTTCAGTGTTCTCGTCTGTGGATGTACAGGTTACAGCTGTTGAGGTACGTATCCAAACACTTTTTTTTGTATTCATTTTTAGGACGTCCCTGGCTGGCCAGCATTTATTACCCATCCCTAGTTGTCCTTGAGAAGGTGATGGTAAGCTGCCTTCTTGAACCGTTGCAGTCCTCCTGCTGTGAGTTGATCCACGATGCCCTTAGGGAGGGAACTCCAGGATTTTGACCCAGCGACAGTGAAGGAATAACCATATATTTCCAAGTCAGGATGGTGAGTGGCTTGGAGGGGAACTTGCAGGTGGTGGTGTTCCCATGTATCTGTTGCCCTTGTCCTTCTAGATGGAAGTGGGCTGAGGGTCTTTTGGTGAATTTCTACAGTGCATCTTGTAGATAGTAGCAGTAGTGTCTACTGAGTGTTGGTGGTGGAGAGAGTGGATGCTTGTGGATGTAGTGCCAATCAAACGGGCTGCTTTGTCTTGGATGGTGTAAAGCATGGAGTGTTGTTGAAGCTGTACCCATCCAGGCAAGTAGGGAGTATTCCATCACCCTCCTGATTTGTGCCTTGTAGATCGTGGGCAGGCTTTGAGGAGTCAGGAGGTGAGTTACTCACGACAGTATTCCTTGCTTCTGATCTGCTCTTGTAGCCACTGTGTCCATATAGTGAGTCCAGTTGAGTTTTGGGTTGATGATAACCCCAGGATATCGATAGTGGGGTATTCAATGACAATAACACTGTTGAATGCCAAAGGTCGGTGGTTAGATTGTCTCTTACTGATGATGATCATAGTACGGCATTTGTGTGGCACGAATATTATTTGCCAGTTGTCAGCCCAAGGCTGGATATTGTCCAGACCTTGTTGCATTTAAACATGGACTGCTTCAGTATCTGAGGAGACACAGATAGTGCTGAACATTGTGCAATCATCGGCGAACATCCCCACTTCTGACTTATGATGGAGGGAAGATCATTGATGAAGCAGCTGAAGATGGTTGGGCCTTGGACACTACCCTGAGGAACTCCTGCAGAGAAGTCCTGGAGCTGAGATGATTGACCTCCCACAAGCACGACCATCTTCCTATGTGTCAGGTATGACTCCAACTACAGTAGAGTTTGCCGCCAATACCCATTGTTTCCAGTTTTGCTAGGGCTCCTTGATGCCACACTCGGTCGAATGCGGCCTTGAGGTCGAGGGCTGTCACTCTCACCTCCCCTCTGGAATTCAGCTCTTTTGTCCATGTTTGAACCAAGGCTGTAATGAGGTCAGGAGCTGAGTGGCCCTGATGGAACCCAAACTGGGTGTCACTGAGCAGATTATTGCTGAGCAGGTGCTGTTTGATAGCACTGTTGATGACACCTTCCATCACTTTACTGATGATCAAGAGTAGACTGATGGGGCGGTAATTGGCCGGGTTGGGTTTGTCCTGCTTTTTGTGTACAGGACATACTTGGGCAATTTTCCACATTGTCAGGTAGATACCAGTGTTGTAATTGTATTAGAACATCTTGGCTAGGGGAGCGGCATGTTCTGGAGCACAAGTCTTCAGTACTACTGGAATGTTGTCAGGGCCCATAGACATTGCGGAATCCAGTGTCTCCATTTCTTGATATCATGTGGAGTGAATCGAATTGGTTGAAGGCTGGCATCTGTAATGCTGGGGACCACTGGAGGAGGCCGAGATGGATCATCCACTCGGCACTTCTGGCTGAAGGTTGCTGTGAAAGCTTCAGCCTTATCTTTTGCACTGATGTGCTGGTTCTTCCATCATTGAGGATGGGGATATTTGTGGAGCCTCTTCCTCCAGTAAGTTGTTTAAATGGCCACCACCATTCATGACTGGATGTGGCAGGACTGCAGAGCTTAGATCTGATCCATTGGTTGTGGGATCGCTTAGCTCCATCTATAACTTGCTGCTTTTGCTCTTTGGCGTGCAAGTAGTCTTGTTTGGTGGCTTGACCAGGTTGATACCACATCTTCAGGTAAGCCTGGTGCTGCTTCTGGCGTGCCTTCCTGCATGCTTCGTTGAACTAGCGTTGGTCCCCTGGCTTGATGGTAATGGTTAAGTAGGGGATATGCTAGGCCATGAGGTTACAGATTTGTACTACAGCACATTCTGCTGCTGTTGATGGCCCACAACACCTCATGGAGGCCCAGTCTTGAGTCACTAGATCTGTGTGAAGTCTGTCCCTTTTAGCACAGTGAAAGTGCCACACTAGGGGAGATGATGGTGGCATTATCGCTGGAATGTTAATCCAGAGACCCAGATAACATTCCCGGGAACCAGGTTCGAATCCCGCATGGCAGATGGTGGAAGTTGAATTCAATAAATATCTGGAATTAATTGTCTAATGATGTCTGTGAATCTATTGTTGATTGATTGAAAAACCCATCTGGCTCACTAATATCCTTTAGGGAAGGAAACTGCCATCCTCACCTGGTCTTACCTACACATGACTGCAGACCCACAGCAATGTGGTTGACTCTTAACTGCCCTCTGGGCAATTAGGGATGGGCAATAAAGGCTGCCTAGCCAGCGACACTATCATCCCGTGAATGAATAAAGAAACACTGATCTCAATGTGAAGGCAGGACTTGTCTCCAAGGACTGTGTGGTGGTCACTGTTACTGATACTGTCATGGACAGATGCATCTGCAGTCAGCAGATTGGTAAGGATGAGGTCAAGCATGTTTTTCCCTCTTGTTGTATCAATCCCCACCTGCCGCAGACCCAGTCTAGCAGCTATGTCCTTTAGGACGCGACCAGCTCGATCTGTAGTACTGCTGCCGAGCCACTCTTGGTGGTGGACATTGAAATCCCCCACCCAGAGTACATTTTGTGCCCTTGCCATCTTCAGTACTTCCTCCAAGTGTTTCTCAACTTGGAATACCAATTCATCAGCTGAGGGAGGACAGTATGTGTTAATCAGCTGGAGGTTTCCTTGCCCATATTTAACCTAAAGCTATGAGACTTCATGGGGTCCGGAGTCAATGTTGAGGACTCCTAGAGCGTCACCCTCCTGACTGTATACCACTGTGCCGCCCCCTCTGCTTGGTCTGTCCTGCCAGTGGGACAGGACATATCCAGGGACGGTGATGGTGGTGTCTGGGACATTGTCTGTAAGGTATGATTCTGTGAGTATGACTATGTCAGGCTGTTGCTTGACTAGTCTGAGAGACAGCTCTCCCAATTTTGGGACTAGCCCCAGACGTTAGTGAGGAGGATGATCCACCTGGTTTCATTTCTTTGTGACATTGTAGCGTTTTGTAACAGCAGAATGGCTTGCTAGGCCATTTCAGAGGGCAGTTGAGTCAACCACATGGCTGTGGGTTTGGAGTCATGTGTAGGCCAGACTAGGTGAAGGTGGCAGATTTCCTTCCCTGAAGAACATTCGTGAACCAGATGGGTTTTTCCGAAAATCAACAATGATTTCATGGTGATCAGTAGATTGTTAATTCCAGATTTTTTATTATTGAATTCAAATTCCGCTATCTGCTGAAGCAGGATTCAAACCTGGGTCCCCATTAGCTCACGTTAGCTGAGTTTCTGGATTAAAAGTCTAGCGATAATACCACTGAGCTATCACCTACTCCGAACGCCAACTTTTCTAAACAGGTTAAGAGCTTTCATCTCTACTACCCTTATTCTCTTCTAATTTTCCTACAAATCACTTTAAATCTATGCCTGATGGTCACTGAACCTTCTCATAGGCTACATTGGTCTGTCATTATCCACAGTTATCAAGAGCTCTCACAATTATGTACATCAACCAGATTTTTTTCTTGGCCTCCACTATTCCAAGGAAAAATGATCTGAATCCATCCAGTCTTTCCCCTTGGCTGCATTTTACCAGTCTTTGCCACATCCTGTATATCTCTTCTGTGCCCTCTTTAGTGTAATGATATCCTTTCTATAATGAAATAACCAGGTTTCTACCCAGTACTGAGGTTGTATAGGCCCACAGAGCGTTTGTAGCACAGGAGGTAGTCCTGTTGGCCATATCCTTGTGTTGCTCTGCAGTCACGCCTGAGTTAACAGAAGGCAGGGGACTAGTTTGTATTGAGTGAGACTCGAAGGCTTCAAGCTACCTAATTTTATGCTGTGCAAGGGAGAAGAGGAAGCAACATCAAGTTGGAAATAGTTGACCCAATAAGACAGCGATATTGGATCTCTTTTCTTTTTTGCTATAAATTGTTAATGAGGTTTTATCAGTTCCCATCTTTCCCCTGTTAGTAACATAATGTTCAAGCCCTCCATGGTCGTTAATCAGGATAGTCAGTGTAACTTCTGACAAGGAATGAGCATCGTCCAACAATATGAAGGTCTGAAAGATCCAAGAAACATTGGTCTGAGAATGTGATTAAAGTTGTGTGTTCGATTGAAAGTAAAAGTCATCGTAGTCCTACTGGACCATTGGGCTGTGCCCCCATTTGAAAGAGACGACCGGTGGTGGTTTAACCTGAGGGGCACCATGCATCAGGCGAGGGGAAAGGTTGAGAAGGAGAGTCTCTTATGATTATCTCAGCTGACGCAAGAAATGAACTAACGCTGTGGCATCACTCTGTATTGCAAACTGGCTGTTGGCAGGGTAGGAGCTGGGGGAAGAGGTGGAAGTAGACTCTATGGGCCAAATTGCCTCTTTCTGCACTGTAGGCATTGTAAAACGCTGTTTATGACTTTCCTAAGAGCTGCTTTGTTACTGTGGTTGTCTTCACTTTATCATGGGGGACACTTTCAATGTGAACAATCAAATTATTACTTGTTTAGTTGAATTGCTATGAACCAGGACATTGTTTTAAATAATGTACTGTTCATAGAGTTTACATTTAAAAAGAAATAAACAGAAGAGTTAAAATGGGGGAGATAGGCTTAAATAAAAAGTCCCTCTGCATTGCGAACCAGCTGCCAGTTAACTCACCCCCTACAATGCTACAGTGATATACTTCAGATTCTATATAGCTAAAACTAAAGCAGAAAATGTTGGCGATACTCAGCAGGTCAGGCCTCAGAAAAGTAATTTTCTGAAACGTTAATTCTTTCTTTCTCTCTCCACCAATGCTGCCAGACCTGCCAAGGGCTCAGTTTTAGTAACATCTCATTTAACATCTCACAACGCAGAACTCTCTCAGTGGTTTGTCTCTTTAGAAGGCTGAAGTGAGGCTTGAGTCTACAATCTCTTGATTGTAAACCGAAATAAGATGCACAGCTTGCCTTAGGGAACGTTGAGTTTAATAATTTACCAGACTTCAGTGACGAGCTTATTAGGTATTTATTATTCTATTTTGGGTTTGCAGTGATGTTGTGTGATTGAGGTTGTGTGAAATAATAACGTACAAACATATCTCGATGCAAATGCCTCTTGTGGAGTAATCTTGGGTACTTAAGGGAATATTTTGCAGATCCGAGAGGACCGAGATGTTCAAGGTGAGATCAAAGTTCAGGCATTAATCTACCCTGCGCTTCAGACCATCGACTTTAACACCCCTTCCTACCAGCAAAATGGGAACATGCCAATTCTGCCCAAGACCTTAATGGTCAGGTTTTGGAGTGAATATTTTGGCTGTGACAAGTCACTGCTGAAGATGATGATGGCCAACAGCCACGGCACCCACGAATCGAAGGGCTTGAGCAACTTTGCAAACTGGAGTGCCCACTTGCCGGAAGAGTTCAGAAAGGATTACAAATACGTCCCGCTGGGCGGAGAGAGTCCGGAGCCATCCGGGAATGTGCCCGGAGTCTTTGACCCAAGGGCTGCTCCTTTGCTGGTGGGGGACGAGAAACTCCAGGCTCTGCCGCACACCTACATTGTAACGTGTGAGTATGACGTGCTGAGGGATGATGGTGCCATGTACGCCAGGAGATTGAAAGCAGCGGGAGTCCGGGTCACACACGAGCATTATGAGGACTCCTTTCATGGCGCCATTATGTTCATCACGTGGCCAACCGATTTTGCAATTGGCCAGAAAATGATAAGCCATTACATTGAGTGGCTGCAAAGGAATTTGTAAATAAACTTGCCCCTCTCCAATTTGACTCACTCTTGGTGCCCTGCAACAGCACCGCCACCACCACCAACCCCCCCACCCCCCGCCGTACTACTTCTGTACCTGCCAATTCTTGGCAAATATTTCTCTCAATGTTTTTGCTTCCCACACTCCCATCTGTATTTAGTGTTTGACTCGACTGACGTGCACTTGATCAGGGCTCATTACGACTTTGAATTGCAGACTTAAAGGAATGTAGGTGGTTGTCATAACTTGTATCCGGGCAAGGAGACCTCACCCATGGGTGTGCCCAATTGGCCCATCCAACACCATGACAAAAATAAAAGGTGGGGCCCTTCAGCCCCTCAAGCCTGTTCTGCCACTCGATTGTACCTTGCTGATCTGCACGTTAACTGCATCTACCTCCCGCCTAATGTGGTTCATCCTTTTAATGTGAAGGTTTCCTTGCCCATCATCTGGGCCATCTAGCTGAGATTCAACGGGTACTGAGGTGATGTCTGAGGCTGTCATGCACTCAAAAGATACTTCTGCAAACAGGACATGGAACCACAGATGATTTGAGTTTCGGATGAGCTGCTGGTTTGAGATCCTCTCCTCGTGTTTTCTGGCTGTGATTTGGACTTGTTTGTGAAGAAGACTGTGTGTGATATTTGTAGATTCTGTGTGAGATTCTCCCAAGATTTGATGTCCATATTGAGTCAAATTCCCCAGTGAAGTGTTCAGAATGTCCTTGTAATGTTTCCCCATGAGAACGTAGCCCAGAATCCTGCTCTCCCGTGTTAATTTTTGCTTCACTAAGTGTGTATCTATCCACAAGACCAGTCTTGGACTGGACTTAGCATTTTCTTTAATATTCATGAACGGATCGGAGTGTCACAGGCTAGGCCAGCATTTATTGCTCATCAATAATTGCCCAGAGGGCACTTAAGAGTCAACACATTGCTGTGAGTCTGGAACCACCTCCAGACCAGGTAAAGACAGCAATTTCTTCCCTAGAGGACGTTGATTTTTCACAATTTTGTTTTTGAAATGCTCTGTTCACCCCTAGCCTGATAGGCTTTTTGTGTGACAGTTAAAGATTTCAATGACCCTTTGTGTGAAGAGGTGCATCCTGCCCAATGGCCTTGAATTGTAAGGTTTTGCCCAACTTCTTCTCGACTTTCCCACTAGTGGAAGTAGTTTCTGTTAAATCCTATAATTACCTTTTAATGAATTAGATCTTCTAAACACAAGGGTCAGAATCCTAATCTATGCGCCTCAGCCTCATAATTTAACGCTTGAAGTGCCTAGTGGTATTCTGCTGTATTTACTGCAAAGCCAATAAACATATTTAAGGAAGCAGGGCTCGGAATTGGAGATCTACTTGCATACCAATAAACCTACAATGTGAACTTGTTTTGAAAATTTTACTGTCCTTTGTTATGAATATTCCTGGGTGTTTACCCCCTAAAACCATAAGGTCTGATCCCCAAAACCAGTCAAATCAGAAATCGGTCTCTTTGCTTGCCTATCCTCAAACCAACAATTAGCGCTCCATTCTGTTGGATATTGTCTGTCCTAGCATTTTCAGTGTGCTCTGGTTGTACATGTAAAATAATGAGACAATAATGGAGTGCCATATTAACCCTGTGTTCTGTTTACACACTGACTGCATAACGTATAATAAAATGTCATAACTTGCTCTTTGTATTAAATGTGATAAATAAAATTTTGTGTTTTTAAAAATCCCCTTTGAATTTGTGTATGATTATCCTGATACTTTTTTTTTGTTACTCACTCTTGAGATGTAGGTGTTGCATAGAAACATAGAAAATAAATGGAGGAGTAGGCCATTCGGCCCTTCGAGCCTGCATCACCATTCAATATGATCATGGCTGATCATGCAACCTCAGTATCTCATTCCCGCTTTCTCTCCGTACCCCTTGATCCCTTTAGCCATAAGGGCCACATCCAGCTCCTTTTTGAATATATCTAATGAACTGGCCCCGACAGCTTCCTGTGAGAAAGAATTCCAGAGGTTCATAACTGAGTGAAGAAATTCTTCCTCAGCTCCGTCATGAATGGCTTATCCCTTATTTTTATACTGTGACACCTTGTCCTGGTCTTCCACAATATTGGGAACATTCTTCGCACATCTAGCCTGTCCAGTTACCTTACTAATCTCTTGTGTGGAACCTTGTCAAAAGCCTTTTGACAGTCCAGATACATCTACGGAGTCACCATTGTCTACTGGTCACCTCCTCAAAAATTTCAAAGATTTTTCAATCATGGTTTCCCTTTAAAGAATCCATGCTGACTAGTACTGATTCTGTCCCCACTTTACAAATGCTCTGTTATTACATATTTAGTGATTGACTCCAGCATTTTCTCCACCACTGATGTCAGACTACCCAGCCTATTTTCTCTCTGCCTCACTTTTTTTTTAAAAGAGTGGAGTTACATTCGCTTCCCTCCAGTCCATTGGAACTCTTCCACAGTCTACAGAATGCTGGAAAATGATCAACAATGCATGCACTATTTGTAGGGCCACTTCCTTAAAGTACTCTGGGAATGCAGAGCATCAGACCCTGGTGACTTATCAGGTTTTAATTACATTTCTTGATAAGGATTTCCTTTCAGTTCCTCCTTCATGCTTGACCCTCTGTGCCCGAGCATTTCCTGAAGATTATTTGTATCCTCCTTAGTGTAGACAGATCCAAAGTATTTGTTCAACTGGTCTGCCATCTCTTTAACGTCCATTATGAATTCACCTGATTCTAACTGCAAGGAACCTACATTTGCTGAGCCAACATTTATTGCCCATTCCTATTGTCCTTGAAGGTGGTAATGAGCTGCCTTCTCGAACTGCTACAGTCTGTGCTCTATAGGTAGACCCATAGTTTGCATGGTTCTATTTTCTAATATTCCTTCCCATGGTGCCTTTTCATTTGAACTTCCTTCTCTTTCATTTTCCTATATAAACACCTCTCTTGGCCAATGTTTTACTCACCTCAGTTAACACCTCCTTTATTTATGCATGCATGGGAAATGTACCCATCAAAGATTTGTTACAAAGCTATGGCTCTATTTTATTTTTTCCGAAAATGCACTTTATTCATAAACCTTTGTGTACATACATGGTCACTAAAGCAGTTTATTCTCAATATGCAAAGACTGTACAGAACCAAACAAACATTGGCTTTTGACTTTCCCAACAAACAAACATTTATTACTGCTGCAAGATACTATTTACATATAACAGGCAGGAAAACACAACGGCGCTTCATCGGAGGCTGCACTGATGATGTTACCCAGCAGGGTCATGAAACGTTTGCAGAAAATCAACGAACCAGCTCGGCGAGCCAACCAACCTCAACATCCACAACCCAAGCTACAAATCTACTCTAAAACCCTAGACTATTTACATATATCTGAGGCATTGTACTTTGGCCAGAAAGCCTTAGATGGTGGAATATTTTTTACAGATAACAGTTTTCCAAGAAAAAGGTAACATGTCTATTCACTTATCTCTAACCAACAGTGTTCATTCTACTTTACATTCCAAGTTAAGCTCACTTGAGGTGTCGTGATCCTCAGGTTAAGCTACGGCCTGTCATCTCTCTCAAATGATAAAGCAGGCCTGTGGTCCTCAATTTACTTTAACTTAGCACACATGACTATATATTGTCGAATTGTATTCAAATCTGCACACACTATAAAGTCCAGTCCAATCATAACATGTCTGCATGATTATATTATCCAATCAAATTAATACATGTTCACATCTACTGACTATAAGTGCATACTTCATAATTATCCAAACTCTTTACTGTCCTTTTTTTACCTGCTTCACCATGTAAGCTTGCTGCTGAAGTAAGGTGGATCAAAGTTATCCTGTGAGATGATGGCCATTCTGATTACTACCTTCTGTACAAAAAACAGAAGTTGCTGGAAAAGCTCAGCAGGTCTGGCGGCATCTGTGAAGACAAAATCAGAGTAAATGCTTCGGGCCCAGTGACCCTTCCTCAGAACTGTTCTGAGGAAGGGTCACTGGACCCGAAACATTAACTCTGATTTTTTTTCTTCGCAGATGCTGCCAAACCTGCTGAACTCTTCCAGCAACTTCTGTTTTTGTTTCTGATTTACAGCATCCGCAGTTCTTTCGGTTTTTACTATCATACATATATATATCACATGTAATGATGAATAGATCAAAGGACATCATCTTTGGTTCTGAAAAGTACACAGTCTCTCTCAGGTTACCCTGGAAGGGTAAGAATCGCAAAAGTTTGAACAGCAGATGAAGCTAGCTGTTTCACATTGCTGATGATAAGTAGAAACACGGGTAACTCATAGATGTTTACTGCACAGGTGAAGGCTATTTTTCCCATCCTATCAATAAAGATCCAGCTGTGCACATCCCAGCACTTATTCATCTCTTGGCCTGTAGTCCTGGTGGCTGTAGCAACACCGGTGAATATCTAAATACAGTTTAAATATTTAACGACCTTTTCAGGCAGTGAGTTTCAGACTCTCAGCACCCACTGGGGGGAAACTAATTCTTCTCAACTCTTCTCTTAATTGCCTTCTTTTTACCTTAAAACTATCCCTGCTCCCCCCAACCCCTGCCCTGGTTGGCCACTAACTAATGCTGGAGTCAAGCCAAAATACATCCTTCCTAACACATAAATGAATAATGCGGTATACAAATTTTATAGCCATTGTTACACTGAGTATGTAGGCCATTTGTCCCACAGTTTGGTGGATCATAACAAACAACATATTCCTGGGTTAGCTAAGGAAGGGTCACCGGACCCGAAACGTTAACTCTGTCTTTCCCTTCACAGATGCTGCCAGACCTGCTGGGCTTCTCCAGCGACTTTGTTTTTGAACATATCCCTGTGGCTGTTTGCAAAAAAAAAGGTCCTGAGCATACCCAACCAGTCTGGTGTTGTAAAAGTAACAACACCACACCAAATTAGATGTGATTCTGTGATTGGATGGCATTTGCTAAACAATCCTGAGTGTGCAAAGACTAATATTGACAACCAATTTAGGATTGGCGGCTGGTCTTAGTGTGGTGCACTTAAGTGTACTGGAAACTCCATACATTAATACACAGGGCACTGTTCTTTGCAGCTAGAACAGGTACAAACACTGTGCCTGTTCTAACTCCATAAAATAGATGACAGCCATTCTCTGGTTAATTTCTCAGAGCAGTGCCTTGAGCAATCAGAGGTGAATTACTTGCTGTAAGACCCCTAGCGTTTGACCTCTTGTTGTAGCTATACTATGTATATGGCAGCAAAAACCAAAAGAACTGCTGATTCTGGAAATCAGAAACAAATTGTTGGAAAAGTTGAGCTAATATCCCGGGTCCTGATGACTCTTCCTCAGACCCTGCTCAGCTTTTCCAGCAATTTCTGTTTCTGTTTGTGTATATATATGGCATCTCCGTTTCAGATTCTGTTCGGTGGTAACTCCTGGGATGTTGCTGGTGGGGATTCTGTGATGGCAATACCATTGAATATTAAGGGGCAAGGGTTGAATGCTCTATTGTTGGAAATGGTCATTGTCTGGCATTTGTAGCATGATAGGGGTCACTTGTCTGCCTAAGCCTGGATATTGTTCAGATCTTGTTGGATTTGGCCATGGACTACTTCAGCATCTGAGTCATCTTCAATGGTGCTGAACATGATGCAGTTATAAACACACCTCTCCACTTCTGACTGGACGGTGGAGGGAAGGTCATTGCTGAAGATGGTCGGACCAAGGACACTAGTTTGGGAATCTCCTGCAGAGATGCCAATTGGATACAAAATTGGCTTGATGCTAAGAGACAGAGAGTGATGGTAGAGGGTTGTTTTTCAGACTGGAGGCCTGTGACCAGTGGTGTACCACAAGGATTGGTGCTGGGTCCACTGCTTTTCATCATTCATATAAACAATGTGGATAACATCAAAATTGGTGGTATAGTGGACACTGAAGAAGGTTATCTAAGATTACAAAAGGATCTTGATCAACTGAGCCAATGGGCTGAGGAAGGGCAGATGGAATTTCATTTAGGTAAATGTGAGGTGTTGACTTTTGGTAAGACAAGTCAGGGCATGACTTACACCATTAGGGCCCTGGGTGTGTATTTGAACAGAGAGACCAAGGGGTCCAGGTACATAGTTCCTGGAAAATGGCATCACAGGTAGACAGCAATGGTGAAGAAGGTATTTGGCATGCTTGCCTTAATCAGTCAGAGCCTTGAGTACAGGAGATGTGACATAATGTATGGCTGCACAAGATATTGGTAAGGCCACATTTACAGTATGCATACAGTTCTGGTTGCCTGCTATAGGAAGGATATTATTAAACTGGAAAGGATGTTACTGGGACTGGAGGTTTGAGTTATAAGGAGAGGCCCAGTAGGCTGGGACATTTTTCCCTGGAATGGAGAGGACTGAGGTGTGATGCTATAGAGGTTTGTAAAATTACCAGGAAAAGGTGAACAGCGAAGGTATTTTCCCCAGTGTAGAGGTGTCCAAAACTAGAGGGAATAAGTGGAAGGCGAGGGGGAAAGATTTAAAAGGGACTTGAGGAGCAACTTTTACACCCAGCGGGTGGTGTATGTATGGAACAAACTGCCAGAAGAAGTGGTAGATACTGGTACAATTACATTTAAAAGATGTTTGGACAGGTATATGGCTAGGAAAGGTTTAGAGGGATG